CACTCACGCGTGTCTCAGACATTTGCATGTGCTGTGGGCTCTGCTTGTTCTGTTGTGCACTGTTCATGAGGATGGCTCTCAGTCATTGTTTAAGAATCACTTTTTTAAAAAAAATTCCTCATCAATCACAACCCAAGTTTAGAGATTGTTTTTCTGTGATACCAGTTGTCCCTATTAACCTGTTTATTTTTCCACCCATTCTGGTCTATAAACTCTTTATTTTCATATTTCCCACATTTAGCACAGTGCCTGAGATAAAGTAGGGGATTAACAGTATTTGTTAAATGAGTGATTGACTTAATTAACCGATAGTTTAGAACCTTCACTTTTATACTTTGTGATCTTTAAAATGCCTAAATATATTTTGTTCTCTTGCCAGGGTTAAAACTCATATGTTATTTCTCTACCCACTTGCACAGACTTGTAAGGTCTTCGTTTTTCAACCCATCTGTGTGTTTCTTCATCAGCTGGAGGTATTTAATGTCTCCTTAACTTGAAAATCTCATGTGAGCTATTTCTTCTGGAGCACTTAAAAGTATATACACGTCTATATTCAGTAAGTACCAATCCCCAAAGAGCTGAATTCCTCATAGTATTTCATCCAGAGGAATCCCTAATGGACTCTATCATTTATTTTCCACTTTGGCCTGGCATACAAGTTTATGATAAATAGACAACCTGTCCACCTTCGAACCCGTGGTGTCATCTGTTAAAACAAAATAGCATCACTAAAAACATCAGAATGAAAATGGTTTATTTTGAAGAATGGCATTCATTAATTCTCTCTTTTATCTATGTGCCTACCTGCTGTATTAAATTAATCTTGTGTGATGTCCTTTGGCAAAAATGGTCTTGCCTTCTCATTTTCTCTTACTTAAACTTTGAAGCCTCCTTTTGCCTCCCCACCCCACCCCACACACACACTTCCTGTCTTAGGATGCTATTTTTGTGATGCGGGGGAAACAGTTCTTTCTCATAGGCTTGCTGACTTTTTATTTGGGGGATCTCTGTGCTTTAGGGATTTTGTCATTGCTTCGGGCAGAAATGACAAAGAACAGTCAGAAAACTCAAGTGTTTTAAATTCCAAAGTCCTCAGAGGATTAGTATAATCACAATTTTCCTTCAGATATATACAAAGCCACTATCCCAACCAAATAAATTATTTTTCAACTTTGGCTTTCCTTGTAATCGTTTATGTTCACAGTTATCCACCTGTGAGAAACTCTCTAACCACTGACCCCGCCTTTCTACATAAAGGAGTGTATGTGTTGGTCACTTCAGTGGGAATGATGTATTGTTTCCATTAGACGGCCATATACAGATAATTCTCTTTCCTTCTTTTTAAGTCTTTACATTTTTATAGTCAGTCTTCTGGGGAGTGTCCTTTCTGAACATTAAATTATTTACCCTTTTAAGTCACACTGTGATGAATGTAGATGCCTATTTTTGCAATATACAAAGACCATCATAGAACAAAACTTTGATATCTTTAAGGAATAAATGAATTCTGTCCTATTTCCATGGTGCTTCCTGTTTTCAGTTCTATGCCCTTTTTGATTAGCTTCTTAATCAATGAGAGTTGGCAGAAGTATCATTATCCTCAGGAAGCATTATTCCTAGAGATGGAACATCTGAAAGATTAGATAACTTGCCCTTCTCATTGCACCTGCAGTGCTGAAACGAGAATCTAAACTAGAAATATGTGGGCAAGTCAAAAAATATTGCTACAAAATCAAAGCTTTATTAAAGAAAAATATATTGAAATATGAAGCTATTGTTTCTGCATGTACTCTCCATCTTGACCTGTACACTTGTAAAAGTAGTGCTTTCGTCTCTGTAGCACTTCCCAGGAGAACTCTACACTTGCCTTTACACAGGAAGATGGTGATTTGGGGATCCATGGAGGATTCACATCTTCCTTTTAAACAGCCTTTGAGTTTGAGGAACATAAAAAGTCTACAGAGGCAAGATTAAGGCTTAAGGGTAGATACGATAAAGTTTCTCAGTGAACTTCTGATAGGACAATCCTTGTTACCCTTGAAATATCTCTAGGTACCTTGTGGTGAGGGTCTTTTCTCACCGATGCAGTTTTTAATGTCCTTGAATTCTTTATCAGAACCCCCTATGATTGTCCTCTGTCCTTAGAGGAAATTTATCAGGATTATGCCTTTGTAGGTGAGAAAAACCAACAATAGCCCTACCTTCTGAGATGACTTCTCTGCCTGGAGTTTAACTGTTCCAGCATATTCCCTCAGAAGCCACTGTTTTTATCGGACTTTTATTTCTTTATTCTTTTTGAAGGCACCCTGCTTTAGAGAAAACCAAATGAATCATGAAGAGAACTTCTCGGCACTCCACCAACTGCTGGTATCAGAAACATGTGTAAACACATTTTGTTTGCAATAACAGAATGCACTCTGGTAGCAATGCTTTCTGACTTGCCCTAGTCTAAGGGGGGAATCGTAGCAAGTTAAGAAAACCAAAGAATGTCTTGGGGGGGGGGGAGCTGTAATTTGTGAGTATGAAAATAGATTCTAACTGTCCTCCCTACATCTTGTAATGAAGTTAATCCCCTCCAAAACCCTGCAGGAAGTAGCAGGGAAAGCACTAAAAATACAGCAGCACAACCCACTGATTAACCTCAGGAAGCATGATTCCTAGATATCAGAGTCATGTGAACAAAAAGCTTCGTGTCTGTGCCTTGCATGAGATATAAGTTCTCTTCCCAGCTTCTTAATGTCCTTGCTCTAAATACTTGTGAAAATGAGGTTAACGATACCAGCTGTAAAAGTTACTAGTTCTATGATGACTATTTCCATGTTGAGGGAGTTGTGATGTGTGTTAGTCTGGGTAGACTGGAGAAACAAAATTCATACACACTCATATTTTATAAAAGAGGGTTTTATAATTGTACATTAAGCATCCCGATCCAGTCCAGTCCAAGCCCATAAATCTGACATTAGTCCATATGTCGGACATCGATCTACAAAGCCCTCCTCAAATTCACAAAACACACACAATGACGCCAGCTGCAGGAGGCAAGCTGAATCAGTGAACGTGTAAGCATCTCAGCGCTGGCAGGGGTCTCCACACAGCTGCTCCAGCACCCAGGATGGCGTCTGGGTAGGTCCATGCAGCTTCTCCTCGGGGATGTCTTGCAGGAAGTGAGCCTTGCCAGGTGAGGCAGAGAACTAGCGAAGGCAGCCCACCCTGGTCGACTATCAGAGAGCAAGGGACCAGAAAACCAGAAAGGTGAGGCTCACAGAGCCATTTATCTCTCTGCCCTTCAATTAATCCCACATGTGTTCACCGGCCAGGTTGGCACAAGAAACTATCACATGATGCTTAGTATACTTTATAAGAAGTACTTTACAGTTGCATTGTGTTGTGTAGAAAATACTGTAAATGCTTCCTGTGGAGGGAAGGAGTATAATATATTTGTTAGCACCAGGATCAGGGAATCATGCTGACATTAGGCACAGAAAGGATACTTGCTGGTTCTGTTGCTTGGGTAAGGAAATGGTTTCCTCATCTTTATTGTATGAGCTTTAATGAGGATTAAATAAGACATTGCACATGACATGCACAAGCTATTGTTAGGCTTCCTTGAACTAGTTTTTTCTTTTTAATTATTTGAGAATAATTTTAGATTTACATAAATGTTGCAAATATCATGCAAAGAGTTTCTATCTGTCCTTCTTTTGGTTTCCTCCTGCTTAACATCTTGCTTTTGCCACAATGAAGGAATCGCTAACTCTGGACTTTCTTCATACATCACCTCCTTCCTCCACTTCCGGATGCTGTCCAGGGTACCACATTGTGTTCAGTTGTCATGTCTCCCAGTCTCGTTGGGTCTGACAGTTCATTAGTCATTTCTTGTTTTCCGTGACCTTAACAGTCGTGAGTACTCGTTAGGAAGCCTGTACGACCCTTCCCAGTCTGGGGTTGCTTGCTGTTTTCCTCATGATTAGACTCGGTTTTTAGGGTTTGGGAGAGAAGACCACAAAAGGGAAGTATTCTCTCGTCACCTCACGTGATATATATGTTACATGAGATCCACGTGACACCGCTGATGGTGCTAACCTTCATCCTTTGCTGAAGATAATACTTCATTGTAGTCCGAGCTCGATTGAATCAGCTATCACTGAGACTGGACTCTGACTTTCTCTGCTTCTGTCTGGTTTGTTCTTCCTTGAGGTCTCACTGCCACTGTCAATTTCACAGAAGTATCTTCTCCCACCACCTCCGCTAAGGCAACTTTCCGTCCTAAGGTCTATATCTGTATTATTTTGTGCTTTCTTTATAGCATCTATCCTTAGGCGAAATTGCTCTGTATATTTATTTACTCAATTCATTGTTTACCTACTGACTGGATCAGAAACTTGAGGAGAACCAAGTTCTTATTGGATTGTTCACACAGTTTCTCTGATTCTTGCATAAGGGCTAACTAACGCATGCTATGTGCTCAACAGCTATTTATTAAATAAATGTTAAAGAAAGGCAGACCAGGATTAGTTTATTTATTAATAAATATTTCCAAAAGAGATTGGAAAAAGAGCAGAGTGTGGGAGGTCCAATTTAGTGTTCTTAACTCAATTTATTTAGTCTTAATGAAAAGGTTAAATGCAATTATCAGCATTTATGGAAATAGGTAATCAGCATCCCTGTAATTCAAGCTCTCTTATAATGTGCTTAATAATGCAAGTGCCAGAGTGTTTTTATGACTTATGAGGATATGACTGACAAATGTTAAGATCTACTCAGTTTTTATACATCTGCACCATTGTGACCTTTCCTTGCTAATTGGCTCACCTTTTCTATTGTAGAACTTTGAACAGAATTTGAAGTAGTGTAGAATAATTGATGCCTTGATATTCAATTACAGCTAACTTCTTAGTGTCTCCCATTTTTCAGTTATATTGAAGGATAGATGGAGCTTCTTATGTGCCTTTCCTCCATTGCCTATTGTGAGACACAGTCTTTTTATTTTCTCTTCTCAGGACCTAAAATCTGCAAAACAAAGGGATGAAATTGCAGGGGCCCGGGCCTCACTGAAGGAGAACTCTCCTCTCTTACATTCCATTTGCTCCGCTTGTTTGGAGCATTCGGATGTTGCTTCCCTAAAAGCTAGCAAGGACACCGTTTGTGAAGAAATTCAAAATGCCCTTACTGTGATTTCAAATGCCTCACAAGGCATCCAGAACATGCAGGCCTCAGCAGAACCCCCGGCTGCAACCCTGGGATGTGCCCTTGAGGAACTTGAGGTAGGTTGAAAAAGGTAAAATGTGATCTGATGCCCCAATATGAAAACTAAAAAAAGAATAACCTGAAGTGTGGTTTTCAGAGCCATGTTTAGAGTATGAGAAAATAAAACGCCAGTTACCAAATAAAACAACTCCTCTATCTCTCTCTCGTTTCTTCCAATGAATTGATCAATAGGAAAATATGCCATCAGTGGGTTTCTGATGCCTTTCTATTTTTTCAAGGAAGCCAATTAACTTTATTAGGGATTATTAATTAGATATAAGTGATGACTTTATTTTCTGTAGATCAACTATAAAATATAGGATTTATTCTTTCCACAGATATTAACTGTGGTTAGGGACTATCAGATTGCTGCCCTTGTGAAGGACGAAAATATAGGCCAAAACCAAAAGCAGAAATCATCATGAGTAAATGATATTATATACAAATAAGTAAATACACACACACATTGAGAAGGGGAGATGTTATCAAAGGCTTGCAGGAGGTAAGAGAATCGAGCTGATGGAATGCTCTTGTGTGTAAGTAAGAGCATAGAAACCAAAGTACTTGCATGGAGAGAAGGAAGGGAGAAGCCACAGAAAATGAGATCAGAGAGTCAATGGGCCAGCTCTAAGATGCTTGTGTCGGCCATTAAGCATGCTGACTTTTATTACAAGTTGAATGGAGACCGGCGTTAAAGTTTTAACAGAGATATGACACACTGAGAGTTGTGTCTTGAAAGGCCACCTTGTCTGCAGTATAGAGGAAAAGAAGAAAAGCCCAAAGCTGCTCTAGTAACTCAGGTGACAGAAGTGGCTGATTGGACCAAGGTGGCATCAGTGTAGGTGGTGATTATTGGTTATCTTCAAGCTCTATTTTAACAGTAGAGTCAAGTAGATTGTTGTCAGACTGCACGTGAAATATAAGACAAAGGGAGGACTTGGGGCGTGTCTCTGCTGCTGGGTTGTCCAGGGCCACATGCTGAGCTCTTGGCGGTGTTTGGAGCACAAGGTAATTTTAGACAGCAGCAGCTCTGAGGGAAGGGGACAGGCAGACTGATGGAGGAAGAAGTCAACCTGTGAGCTAGGCCTATAAAGCCTGGACCATCTGCTGGGAAGTTTGGGGAAAAAAACCTTGCACTTCGCAGTGTGCTCCATCCAGTAGAGATGGCCAATGCTTTATATTCTCACTTCTTTTGATCACTTGTCTTGGGAAATTTGCTGGATGCAGGCTGCCCTGGGAAACAGTATGCCTTCAAGAGTGATGATGTGTCACGCTATGAAGTTGGGTTGTATTCTGAAGAATTTGTCTTCTGGCTATACCCCCCCAAACTCATACCTGCCGGGAAATTTGGACTACATCTTTGTACCTATCACAGATACTTAAGAGTTTGATGATATTTTCACCAGTGTTGATGTTCAAGGTTATATGGATGAAGCAAGCTTTGGGCAGAAGATCACAAAATCAGTTTTAGATATGTGGGGTTTGAAAGATTTAGGGTTCGGTTAGGTTATGATGTGAAGGATTGCTGACAACCCCAATCAGGCAAATAATTACTCGATGGGAAACAATATCAGGTATCAATTAAGGAAAAGGACCAAGAACCCAAATGACTGGATTTCTATTCAGATGTGGTACTTATTGCCTGTGCTACCTGGGGAAATTTATTAATGTAACTTCACGGGTTTCATCATAAAATGGGAATAATACCAGGACCTACTGTGAGTGATGTGTTAGTGATGTGATTGGTATTGATGAATTAGTAATACATGTTAAAATATTTAGGTGTCCTGGTGACATGATGGCTAAGCACTTGGCTACTTACGGAGAGATTGGTGGTTCAAACTCATAAGCCACATCATGGGGCAACGATGGGCAGTCTGCTGCCCAAAGGTCTCAGCTTAGAAATCTTATGGGGGTAGTTGGACTCTGTCCGATGGGCTTTCCAAGCATCAGAATAACTTGATGGCAAACAGCAGGAGTTATGATGCTTAGATCAGTCCCTGTCACATAATAACTAAGTAAATCTCACCTCTTCTCTGTCATTAGTAGTCAATATGAAAAAGGCAGATTACTCTGTTAGAAAGAAATCATTATACTTAAAATTGCTAACATTTCAGTTATATCACTGAAAAACCTAAACACATAAAGGTACATGAAGTGTATCTTATTCAAAACATTATTTTTGTGAGAAACTTAGTAGATTATTAATATATTTAAATTTAGAGCAGCTTTTCAAAAAACTTTCCCTTAATTACATATTTTGAATGGGTGTCTTAATTTCCAATTCCATGTTATTAAATTCCCATTTATTGCAATCCATATGAAATTTTCTGAAAATTAGTTATTGATATCTGATGGCACTGTGGGCTAGGTGTTGGGCTACTAACTGAAAGATTGGTGGTTCAAACTCACCAGTTGCTTCATGGGAGAAAGATGAGGCTCTCCATTCCCATAAAGAGTTTTAGTCTCAGAAAGTCTCTATAAGGTCACTGGGAATCAAAATAACTTGATGGCAGTGGGTTTCGCTTTTTTGTTTGTTTCGTGTGAAAATTTTAGGAAAAAAGTCTTCATAAAGTATAAGAAGTTTTGGTTCTAATAATACTCTGGTGTCCCATTGTTTACTAAACTTATACCACTGAAATTAGTATCAGATTAGTGAGTCAGTAAGCACTGCAGTTGCACGTGTGTCAGAACAGAGCTATGTTCCACGGGCTTTTCGGGAGCTGATACTAAGACACAGGTTACCCGCCTTACCTCTAGGATGCCGGTAAAGGATCAAAGTTCCAAACGTTTGGTTAGCAACTGAGTACATTAACTGCTGTACCATCCAGAGTTTGGTTACGTACCCAATGTATCAAATATATAATTATTGTTCATTTCTAAGAGCTTTACATAAATTTATAATTTAATTATTACATTGACCCTAGATGGTATTTTCAAATTTTCTTTTATAGAAAAGAATACTGAAACTTTAGATTATAAATTGCTCAAGTCAGAAAGTTAGCAATAGTAGTCAGGATGTGAATCTGGTCTCTATGAATCCAGAATTATTATTTTCAGAATTTTACCAAAGGAACCCAGGTGGCTTAGTGGTTTGGGCATTTGGCTGTTAACTGTAAAGCCAAGAATTCAAACCGCCCAGCTGCTCAGTGGTAAAAAGATGAGGCTGTTGGCTTTCATAAAGATTTATAGTTTTGGAAGGTCTAGGGAGTATTTCTACTCTGTCCTATAGGGTCACTGTGGGTGGGAATTAACTCAAAAGCAGTGGGTGGTGAGTGCTACAATAATGGCGTTCTGGTGGGGAAGTAGGTGACTTGTTGGGCTGTGTGATAGTTACATAATTTCGTGTTAACTTGAAGATACAAAGAAGTGTAGGGGTGGGATTTAATCTGTCTGTCAGCCTGATGGTGTCTCCTTGTGGGTGTGGTCTTTTGTAAGGAGGGCCCTGGCAACCTCCCCTCATCTCTTTGCCTTCTCCTTCCTGCTGGCTGACTGGTGGCTGCCAGAGCCCTGAACTGTTACCACTGTCATTGGATCCGCAAGCGTTTGAACCCACCGGCTTGTGTTCTTCCTGCATTCTGCATCACGGCCTGTGGCTGCAAGAGTCTGAAGAGGGACTTATAGACTAGTATCAGACTTATGGACTTGATTTGGGCTGGGCTGAGATGTTTTCTTGATATATAATTGCTTCTTGATATAAGACTCTTTCTTACACATATATGAGTGTCACTGGTTTTATTTCTCTAGTCAACCCAGCCTAACACAGGGTGTTAACTACAAGGTTTAAACCTACCCATCACTCTACTAGAGAAAGAGGAGATTTTCTGTACCTATAAGGATACACAGTCTCAGAAACACTTAGTATCAGTTTTACAGGCTCACGATGAAGCAGAATTTACTTCAGGGAAGTGGGTCTTTCTTTGAGTTTTGGTGCTACACCTAGTTCTGACCCATAAAGTAAATTCACTTAAATAAAGTTCAATATAATCTATACTAAGATTCTTAGTCAATATATACCACCAAAGAGATTTAAAATGTACCCAAGTCCAAAATGTAGAATAACTTTTTGGTGAAAAGAATGTTACCCCATCAGTCATTTTAATAGAAATTGTCTGCATTTGAGGAGTGGCTAGTGCAATGGAATTTGCTAGAATGGAAAGATAGTCTAGTGTACCATATCTTTTAAAAGTGTGAAACAGAATGTGACAAGGTATGCTTGCATAAGGGATCCAGACACTGCCTTCTACATTCTTCACATTATAGAACAGTGGTTCTCAACCTGTGGGTCGTGACCCCTATGGAGGTCAAACAACCCTTTCACAGGGGTCGCCCGATTCATAACAGTAGCAAAATTACAGTGATGAAGTAGCAATGAAAGTAATTTTGTGGTTGGGGGTCACCGCAACATGAGGAACTGTATTAAAGGGTCGTGACATTAGGAAGGTTGAGAACCACTCTTATAGAAGATAGATTTCCAGATTATCGCTTCCTCTGCGATCGCTTCCCTTTCTTCCTTTTAGTTATGATTGAGTTTTGCAGTAAGAAATGGCAGTAGTTAGGTGAAACGGAGAAAATTGTGTGTGTGTGTATGTGTGTGTGTGTGTGTATGCATGCATGTGAACTTGGAGGGAACTGAGCAAGGTGTGGTGATGGGTAAAGTTGCAGTGATGTTCTTCCTTTCTCAAGAACAGTCCTCTCTAAGGCATTCCACCTATTTTGAACAAGGCCGAGAGACTGCTGAAGATAGGATCCCGAGAGCCCAATACTGTCTCACCTACCTTTGAGATTCAGCTCCAGTCAAATCTATGGAAGCACAACCTAGGACAAAATGCCTGAGTTTTATGTATTTTTTTATTTCTAAGTTACAAATAGCTGCAGATGCTGTCTGAACTAGATAAAGCCAAATTTATTGAGCATTTTAACCCTTTTTAATGATTTTGTAAATTAAATGGTTGCACTTTTCTTTATTTACAGGAAACTGTATTGGTAAAGTATCCAAAATAACCTTTTCTCTGTC